TAGTAGAGGGTGATGTACATGGGTGGGGGGTTCTTGGCGCAGAACTCAGCAGGAAGCGCAGTGCGGTAGCGAGTGTCACTAGTGCGGAGGTGCGTAATGAGGTCAGCGACTGTGGGAAAGGCAGCAAGGTCAGGGAAGAGGTACGGTAGCATGAGGCGGCTCAGTGCAGCAGTGGCAGGGGAAGATTTGCGTGCAACTACAGCGTCGTACAAGGTCTGAGCACTCTTGTACTGGCTAAAGTGTGCACGCTCAGTGGTCGGTAAGTGGCGTCGCATAGTAAGGCGAGCAGCAGCATCACGTGTGGCCCACTGTGAGCGAACAGTGGCGTCAGCATCAGCAGCAGGGGCAGGGGAGGCACCAGAAGTGAGGTCAAACAGGGAGAGGCCGTCTGCCCTATCGCACTGCAGGAAAAGCTGCAGATCATCTACCTTGACCTCAAAGTCCACTGCCCGACCCTCAGCGTCAAAGGTGAGAACGCTAGGGGAAGCCATAAGAGCAGTAGGCAGGCAGTGAGTACAGTGAGGCAGGGCAGTGCAGTGGCAGAGACTATGCTCTTACCAGGCAGGTGGGGCGATCGGGCTGCTCGGCGGCTCGGTGGTCGGGCAGCTCGGCTGCAGGGCGACTCGGCTGCTCGGTGCTGGGCGGTTCGGCTGTCGGGCGGCTCGGCTGCTGGGCGGCTCGGCTGCTGGGCGGCTCGGTTGCTGGGCGGCTCGGCGGTCGGGCGGCTGGGTTGATGGGCGGCTTGGCGGTCGGGCGGTCGGGCGGCTGAGCTGGCCGACGGTTCGGCTGCTTGGCGCTGCAGGCGCTGGGCGGCGGGGTCGCTGGTGGTGGCGAGGCCCCAGGTGGCGGCGGGGCCTTAGGTGGCGGCGGGCCACAAGGGTGGGCGGGGCCGTAGGTGGGGACGGGGCCGCAGGTGGCGGGGCCGCAGGTGGCGACGGGGCCGCAGTGGGCGACGGGGCCGCAGGTGGCGACGGGGTCGTGAAGGGGCGACGGGGCCGCAGGTGGCGGGGCCGCAGGTGGCGACGGGGCCGCAGGTGGCGACGGGGCCGCAGTGGGCGACGGGGCCGCAGTGGGCGACGGGGCCGCAGTGGGCGACGGGGCCGCAGTGGGCGACGGGGCCGCACTGGGCGACGGGGCCGTAGGTGGCGACGGGGCCGTAAAGGGGCCGTAGCGGGGCCGTAGCTGGGGCCGTAGCGGGGCCGTAGCGGGGCCGTAGCAGGGCCGTAGCGGGGCCGTAGCGGGGCCGTAGTGGGGTCGTAGCGGGGCCGTAGCGAGGCCAGACGGGGCCTAAGCGGGGCCGCGACGAGGCCAAAAGGGGGCCTAAGCGGGGCCGTTACGGGGCCGTGAGGGGGCCTAAGCGGGGCCGCGACGGGGCCGTGAGGGGCCTAAGTGGGGCCGCGACAGGGCCGTAAGGGGGGCCTAAGCGGGGCCGCGACGGGGCCGTGAGGGGCCTAAGCGGGGCCGCTACGGGGCCGTAAGGGGCCTAGGCGGGGCCGCGACGGGGTCGTAAGGGGCCAACGGGGCCGTAGAAGGCGGCTCGAGAGGCCGTAAGGGCGGCCAAGGGGGGGCACTAAGGCGGCTCGAGGCGCTACTCGGGTTAGGAGCGAAGCGCGCTCCGGGCAGGGAAGGAAAAAAAAAAGTTCGTGGTGGGCCCTAGGCAGTATTCCCACTCGGGAACCTGCTCGATACCATGACGAGAAGTGAGAATGGATGAATGAACTATGAAACAGTTGGGTACAAGTACTAACCCTAATTGGGTGTACCCCTTATGGGCTACCCCAGCCTACACAAATGTATAAGCTATAATGTTCTGACACCTCGTAATTGTGTGCCTCGTATACCCACAAAGTAGGAATGCAACCAAGTGGTTATTTAGCAGAGAAACTAAATTTCAACTTTACAACTTCAGAGACCCTCAATTTGTCGATTATGTTAATCGTGTTTGGTAATAACATTTTTTTCTTCGTATCCTCACATTCTGATATACTTACATCTTAATAAGCATACAACAAAACAGAGATAAAGTCTTTTGGCTGGCGATTTATAAAAGCATCGTTCAAAATATACAGATTACAACACAGCAACACTTTCACGGAAGATTTTAGAACCCCATAGCACCGTTCTTTACCGCGAAGTTTCCAAAGCTGCACACACTTGGAATTTGAGGAGTTTGCCCGAAAACTGTTCGGAAGCAGCACGAAGCGAAAACTGGGCAACTGCGGAACATCAGTGGCAGATCGGAGACAGTTAGAAACTTGAAAAAAACAACGCACGCGAACTACTGGAACACGAAATCGCCGAACTAACCACCAGCTGATTCCCATCATACACCAGCATAGTTGCGATGTGAGGAGCCGGATGAAGCGGGCAACTCAAAATGGGAGGGTGAATGTGAGGGGCTTAAGAAGTTGGTAGAGGCGGTGGAAAGAAAGGTGACGAAGTTGGAGAAGAGGAGTGGCGAGGGAAAGGGGGTGTGGGAGGTGAGTGCTTCCATGTGTTGAGATGCCCGTTCTACCCCATGCCTTTTTATCCATATATCCTTTTTTGCGCCACTAGTTTGGAGAGAGCACGTGGTAGCCGTAGTTAGTTGATGGTACATACACCCTCACTTTGTGTAGCACCCTCACTCTGTGTAGCACCCTCACTCTGTGTAGCACCCTCACTCTGTGCAGCACCCTCACTCTGTGCAGCACCCTCACTCTGTGCAGCACCCTCACTCTGTGCTGCACCCTCACTCTGTGTAGCAACCTCACTCTGTGCAGCACCCTCACTCTGTGCTGCACCCTCACTTTGTGCAGCACCCTCACTCCGTGCAGCTCCCTCACTCTGTGCAGCACCCTCACTCTGGCGTTTTCATAGCTTTCTGACCTTGTCAATTCCGCGATGGTGGAGTATCCCCCGCTCCTAGTTGGTACTCGAGTGTGCTCGTGCCTCCCTTTGTTTGCCCTACCTACAAGCAATGCTCACGCTGTGGGAGGCAGCAATACTTGAGGAAACTCAAATGGACCTCAGCGGCATCTCCTGCCTCTCAGACGCCGCTCTCACCCGCCTCACCTCATTACACCACCTCACATCCGTCAACCTCAAAGGATCCACCGGCGTCACGGCAGCAGGGATGAGGAACTTGTACTCCCTCACAGACCTTGACCATCTTATATTTGGTGCCATCACGCAACTTATGCTGCTCTGGAAGGGATTTCCCGCCTGAAGAACCTGCACGCCCTGGTTCTTGACAAGACCAATATCACAGATGTGGGAGTGGCGAGGCTACAAGAGCTGTCTGGCCTCACAGGTCTGTCCATGACCGGATGTGCGTCTGTGACCTCTTGCAGCATGGTGCCTGTGGGCAAAATGAGATCACTGGAGTTTCTCACACTGAACGCTACTGGGGTCAAGGAAGATGGGCTGCAGCATCTGACTGCCCTCACATCTCTCACGCTCTTCACTTTGCCTCCGGGAGTGACTGACTCAGGCATAAGGCACTTACGGAATATGAAATGCCTGGAGAAGCTGGCAGTGTGGGATGCGAGCATCACCGCATCAGAAATGAAGTGGCTCTAGGGTCTTAAGTGCCTCTAAAAGGTTGCAACTTGTTCATACAAGATGGAGGAATTGATAAGGGACAATCTCCATGGAGTAATTATATCGGGTACACTGAATGACTCGTAATGTGAAGATATCATAGGAGGGTTAAGGTACGATTTTTATAGGTTTGAGCAGAGATTTTTGGAGGATCAAAGTGAAACTCATGCATCAGTAGTCTCGTTTTGTACATTTGAGGACCGCTACTCAGGTACCGGTACTATGCTACCTTCGTTTGCACACATAGTACACCTCTCCTTTTGTTCAGACCACTTAGAAGTACCGAACTGTCAAATTATGTTTACATTATATCCGGGGGATGACGGAAGTTGTAGTTTCCGTTTCATTATCGACTTACTGCGCATCCTTTCTTATCAACCTCTTGGAAGTACCGAACTTAAATTGCAAAATCTGCACACGTTGTGCTTGAACAACAGCCCGCACTACACCCACCTTGGCGTTGTTCTGCAGGCGTTTAGGGTTCCGCACCAATTTGACCGCGGTAGCCTTCCGTGCATTTTCTAGGCGCATTCATGCTGGTTGCGTTGCGCGGATGTTGCTGCCTCGCATAACATGTGCGGGGGCTGATGCTAGCTCCCGAGGTAGAATTAGCACCGCACTAGTTGTGCGACCATTTGCCCGGCGAAGCAACAACTTCGAACCTGCAGACGGTTAAATTCGTGCGCCCCAAAAGTGGCGTTCTGCAGGCTGATGCGTTAAATTTGGCGCAAAAAGGTTCGGCAGGACCTTTTTTATCACCAAACCTTGATAGGCAGAAGATCACTTATCAACGAAGATTGTGCGGACCCAGTTTTTGGAAATTTAATGCCTACAGAACAGCGCCCTTGTCTGATGTGTCCACCCACGTCCAGTTTTGAGAGAGTCTGGCCTGTTTCGGTGTATGGAACGGTAATTATGCGCTGCAGAGTGGTTAGTGTACGTTCCAGTGTGTTTTTCACGCAAAGAGAAAAAGAGGAAGAGTGAGGTCACGGGAAAAGGGGATGAGCTGACAGAATTTGCAGGTGCGGCAGATGATGCTACTGATATGAACCGGGATGAAGCGGAGAACACGGAATAGGAGGTGGAATGGCAGGAAGTGAAGGGCTAGTTTTTCGCGTTGGGAAGCAGAGTGGAGAAGCTGGAGAAGACGAATAGTGACCAAGGAAAGAGGATATGGGAGGTGCGTGCTTCTATGAGATGAGCAGACACCAGCATTCTTTTGTTTCTGCCACTAGCAGCACGACAGAACTGATGGCATGTTGTGTCGTAACACGCCCTGGTGCCGTCGCTACTGGCTGCTGGTACATACAAACACGCCTGAACCACCATCGCCCTCACACCTCAGTGTGAAGTACCCGCTCTCAGCTGTCATTCCATCGTGCTCGTGTCTGCCATTGTGTTTTCCCTGGCTGCAGGCGATGCTCAAGCTATGGGCTGCAGCTCTACCAGAGGAAACTCGAATGGACCTCAGCGGCATCTCCTGCCTCACAGACGCTGCTCTCACTCGCCTCGCCTCATTGCAATCCCTCAAAACTATCAACCTCAGAGGCTCCTCCGGCTTCACAGCAGCAGGGATGAGGAAGCTGTACTCCCTCACAGGCCTGCGTTGTTTGGAGCAGGGTTCTGCTGCCACAACGGATGCTGGTCTGGAAGGTATTGGCTGCCTGAATTTTCTGCGCACGTTTGTGATTCACAACACCGAGATCACAGACGCGGGAGTGGCGAGGCTGCAAGAGCTGTCTGGCCTCACGGCACTGTCCATGAGCGGATGTGGGTCTGTAACGTCTGCCAGCATGGTGCATGTGGGCAGAATGACATCACTGAAGTGGCTCACACTGCATAAAACCGGAATCGAGGATGGGCTGCAGCATCTGACTGGCCTCACTTCTCTCAAGTTCTTCACTCTGCCTCCAGGTGTGACTGACTCCGGCTTGAAGTACCTGAGCAATATGAAAAGCTTGGAGAGGCTTTCACTGAAGAATGCCAGCATCACAGCAGCAGGCATGAAGTGGCTCACGGGTCTCACGTCCCTGCAGAAGGTTGGGACTTTGTCGAGCGAGATTAAGGAATTCATAAGGGACACTCTCCCTTGGGCAATCGCCACATCAGGTCACATCGATGCTTGACATACAGTAGCCGTATCATAATCAGGGATGGTGATCATATGCGACTTGCTTTCCATGGCATTGAGTTGCTGCATTGCATAGCGTACGGGCTGCAGGATTCCTAATTCACATGTGTTGTCGTTTGACTGGGAGCGGCGTCACCAAAACCTCTGAAGTGTGACCAGACAGGTTTGAAAACTGTCGAACCAAGGTTGCTTATCACTGAACCATGATACTGTAATGTAATGTACCGATAATCACCAGGATATACTCCCTACATTTCTTCTCATTTCCCCTCCATGCATCCTTCCCGTCGCGTCTCATGACCTGCTTCTCGATCGTACCAGCAGCGCTTCACTCGCCTCTGCCCCTTCACCCCCACCTCCCCTCATCTCCACGCCACGCTCTCCCTCTCCCAAACCACTCAACGCTCCCCTTCCAAGCCAATGCGGCAGCATCACAGCAGCAACAGGCAGGGCGAGCAGCAGCAGCCAGAGCAGGAACGGGATGTGCTGTAAGGCGAGTGCGTCCTGAAGGCCGTCCCAGAGGGCGAGCAGCAGCACGAAGGCCAGGAAGACAAAGAAGGTCAGATCCGCATTGGAAGGCGCACGCAGGGAGTGCATGAGCATGCGGTGCGAGTGAGAGTGAGAGAGAGCGTGAGAGTGTGTGGCGGAGTACCATTGCGCCCGTGCTATTGTGGGCAGGAGTAGAGAGGCGAGAACAAAGGCAATGGAGCGGTCTGCTACTGCTGTGTGGGTGCCGGCCATGGGAGGGGGTGCTGTGGCGAGGGAGGCAATAGAGACAAAGGAAGGGGAGAGAGAGAGGGAGAGGAGGAGGGTGACGGCTGAGAGGGAGACGAGGGGGAGGGCTGTAAAGGTGGCTGCGGTGAGAGTGGGAGCAAGGAGGCTTCGGGTGAGGGAGGAGGGTGGGAAGGGAGGTGGGGGGAGGTGGTGAGGAGGGGAAGGGGTGAGGGAGAGGTAGCGGGAGGGGGCGAAGGCGGTGAGGGAGATGAGGGTGATGAAGAGGTCTAGGAGGAGCAGATGCAGAGGGTCGAAGAGCAGACTGCTTGGGGGAGGGAAGGAGCATGGGGGGCATGGAGAAGAGAGGGCAAGGGGGAGGAAACACAGAGTGTCAGAGGTCAGATGTTTGTTTCGGGAAATGGGAGGAGTAGGTGGAGTGGGTTCACCATGCAGAGGGGCACAGTGAGGAGAAAGCAAGGGAGGGAGAGATGGTGGGGGAAAAACGGAAGGACATAACTCAAATCCGTGATGGAGGAAATAAGAGGGTCACAAGAATCACACAACGAATACAGTGTCGTAACTAGCAGGTAGGATTCTCAACGGAGGAGCAGGAGAAGGCAGCCGCGAAGAAGAACAACGAAGGCGAGAGACGCGGAGGAAAAGAGGGGATGAGAGCAGGAGAAGGTAAGAGCATTGCCTGCCGAGGAGCAAAGCAGAGAGGGCAATGGCAGCCACGATGCCGAGACGAGCCCCCATGTGGAAGGCGAGAGCAGCGCGCACATGCAGCAGCAGGGCACGGCGACACACAGCCACTGCTCCCTGCACCACTGCCATCTGCCCCTGTGCTGCATCTGCCACGGTCTCTCTTCTCTCCTCTGCTCCTCCTCCTCCTCCTCCTCCTCCTCCTCCTCCTCCTCCTCCTCCTCCTCCTCCTCCTCCTCCTCCTCCTCCTCCTCCTCCTCCTCCTCCTCCTCCTCCTCCTCCTCCTCCTCCTCCCATGTGCTCTCCGCTGCTCCTGGCCGAACTCTCAAGGAGGGAGGATTCGGGTAGTGGGGGCAGTAGTAGGGTTGCCTTGCAGGCGATGCAGGGGGAGGAGGAGAGAGACGCGAGGAGCACAGGGGATGGGGGCGAGTGGGGTGAGGAGGACGAGGGGGAGGAGGTGAGGGAGAGGAGAGGCGTGTCTGTGTATGTGGTGATGTGCGCGGGGATGAAGGGAGCTGCCAGGGAAGGGGAGGATGGGTGGGAGGGAGGGGTTGTGGGGAGACGGAAAGGGTCAGGGAAAGAGGATTGTGGAAAGTGAGGCAAGGAAGCTTCTCTGGGGACGCAAGGTGGGTGCGAGAAGAAGACAGCATGCAGGTGGGCCACAGGAGAGTGAGCTTGCGATACTGGGGCTCCCATGCTTCCCTCCCACACCACACCACACCACACCACACCACACCACACCACACCACAACAGACCTCGCTACCTCTCCCCTACTTGTACCCCCTTCCAGTTTCACCGATCCCCCATTCCCCCTCTCCCGCGCAAGCTTCCCCCGTCCCCCCCTCGTCCCACTTTCCCCACTCTCCCGACTTCTCAGCACGCGAGCAGCACGCACCATGGGGCAGCCACAGCAGCTGATGGCCCTCACTTGCCAGCTGTGCAGCTGCTGCTGACTCAGCATCGCCCCACAGCCCCGTCAGCACCTGCACATTGTGAAGCACACTTGTCCAGCTGGCAGCTGGTGATTGGGTGGTGGATGAGAGCACAGGATGGATAGAGGATTGGTTGGTATTTGGTTGCCACTGCTGTCACAACATGCTGACAATCAATCTTTTGATGCTGTAGCAGTGACCGTGTGCATCCGCGAATGCGCGCACGTGTGTGTGTGTGTGTGTGTGTGTGTGTGTGTGTGTGTGTGTGTGTGTGTGTGTGTGTGTGTGTGTGTGTGTGTGTGTGTGTGTGTGTGTGTGTGTGTGTGTGTGTGTGTGTTGTGTGTGTGTGTGTGTGTGTGTGTGTGTGTGTGTGTGTGTGTGTGTGTGTGTGTGTGTGTGTGTGTGTGTGTGTGTGTGTGTGTGTGTGTGTGTGTGTGTGTGTGTGTGTGTGTGTGTGTGTGTGTGTGTGTGTGTGTGTGTGTGTGTGTGTGTGTGTGTGTGTGTGTGTGTGTGTGTGTGTGTGTGTGTGTGTGTGTGTGTGTGTGTGTGTGTGTGTGTGTGTGTGTGTGTGTGTGTGTGTGTGTGTGTGTGTGTGTGTGTGTGTGTGTGTGTGTGTGTGTGTGTGTGTGTGTGTGTGTGTGTGTGTGTGTGTGTGTGTGTGTGTGTGTGTGTGTGTGTGTGTGTGTGTGTGTGTGTGTGTGTGTGTGTGTGTGTGTGTGTGTGTGTGTGTGTGTGTGTGTGTGTGTGTGTGTGTGTGTGTGTTGTGTGTGTGTGTGTGTGTGTGTGTGTGTGTGTGTGTGTGTGTGTGTGTGTGTGTGTGTGTGTGTGTGTGTGTGTGTGTGTGTGTGTGTGTGTGTGTGTGTGTGTGTGTGTGTGTGTGTGTGTGTGTGTGTGTGTGTGTGTGTGTGTGTGTGTGTGTGTGTGTGTGTGTGTGTGTGTGTGTGTGTGTGTGTGTGTGTGTGTGTGTGTGTGTGTGTGTGTGTGTGTGTGTGTGTGTGTGTGTGTGTGTGTGTGTGTGTGTGTGTGTGTGTGTGTGTGTGTGTGTGTGTGTGTGTGTGTGTGTGTGTGTGTGTGTGTGTGTGTGTGTGTGTGTGTGTGTGTGTGTGTGTGTGTGTGTGTGTGTGTGTGTGTGTGTGTGTGTGTGTGTGTGTGTGTGTGTGTGTGTGTGTGTGTGTGTGTGTGTGTGTGTGTGTGTGTGTGTGTGTGTGTGTGTGTGTGTGTGTGTGTGTGTGTGTGTGTGTGTGTGTGTGTGTGTGTGTGTGTGTGTGTGTGTGTGTGTGTGTGTGTGTGTGTGTGTGTGTGTGTGTGTGTGTGTGTGTGTGTGTGTGTGTGTGTGTGTGTGTGTGTGTGTGTGTGTGTGTGTGTGTGTGTGTGTGTGTGTGTGTGTGTGTGTGTGTGTGTGTGTGTGTGTGTGTGTGTGTGTGTGTGTGTGTGTGTGTGTGTGTGTGTGTGTGTGTGTGTGTGTGTGTGTGTGTGTGTGTGTGTGTGTGTGTGTGTGTGTGTGTGTGTGTGTGTGTGTGTGTGTGTGTGTGTGTGTGTGTGTGTGTGTGTGTGTGTGTGTGTGTGTGTGTGTGTGTGTGTGTGTGTGTGTGTGTGTGTGTGTGTGTGTGTGTGTGTGTGTGTGTGTGTGTGTGTGTGTGTGTGTGTGTGTGTGTGTGTGTGTGTGTGTGTGTGTGTGTGTGTGTGTGTGTGTGTGTGTGTGTGTGTGTGTGTGTGTGTGTGTGTGTGCGTGCATGCAAGTGTGTGCATATGCATACGTGCAGGTGTGTGTGGCACAGAGGGCATGAGGAAAGTGCAGCGCACTTTCCTGCATGCCTTCTGTGCCACACAAATTCACAGAATCCCCTGACTCTTTTTCCGCCCACTTCACTCACCTGCACTGGGAGGTGCAGACGAAGCAGAACCAGAAAACCCACATTGCAAGGCCACACCACTGCTATCAACAGCAGCAGCAGGGGCATCAGCAGCCGCAGCAGTTGCAGCAGCGTCATCCCTACCGCCAGACCCACTGGCAGTGGTGGGAGGGAAGGCAGAGGCGTGTGCCGGATCACAGTGATTGCCCGTCATCACCACCGCCTGCACGCCCAGATCTTGCCACCTGTCAACCGCCCATTTAGTGGTCGCGAGATCCCACGCTTCCCTCACTCCTATTGCGCCCAGAAACACAATCCCTCCCTCCTCCGCGCTCTGCTGTGCTGTGCTCACACCACCCCGCTGATCCATCCCTGCCCCTCTTTGCACTGCTGCTGCTCCTGCCGCCGCTGCCTCTGCACCTGTCGCTGCAGGGCTGCTCATGTGGGGTGACTGCTGCTGCTGCGGCTGCTGGTGCGGTGAAGGGAAGGAGGCGTGTGGGTGCACGGGGGAGGGGGTGTGATGAGCTGGTGATGGGGTTGGTGGATGCAGGGTTGGTGGTGCGTGTGGGCATTCTTGTGCCCATGCTATGACTCGCATGCCTGCAGGGAAGGGAAGGCAGAGGTATGAGGGTAAGATGAGCAGGTGACGGGATTTGTGCATGGGAGCTTGGTGGTGCGTGCGGGCGTTGTTGAGCCCATGCTATGACTCGCATGTGTGCATTGAAAGCAGGGAAGAGATGTGGCAGTGGTAGATTATGTGTGGATAAGGGAGACGTGATGTGAAAATGAGGAATCGAGAGAGGAGAGCAAGAGGGATAAGAGAGGAGAGAAGAGGAGAAATGACAGGAGAGGAGAGCAGGAGAAAAGGGGGCCAGAAAGCAAAATGCAGACGAGGTGGGAATGTGATGAATGGATGCAGCAAGATGGGAAGAAAGTAGAATGGTAGGAAGGTAGAGAAAGGAGCGGAGTGAGGCAGAAGAAAAAGCTGCGGGTAGAGAGCAGTAGCGGAGGCCAAAGAAACACTGCCCGGTGCATGTTGACTGTTAAGCGCATTGGTGCATGTGCTGGCTGACGACCTCTGCCTGTAAAAGAGGGAGAAGCGGGAGTAAGTACTGGAAGGTCCAAACAAGAGAGGCAAGAATGCATGTGCATGATGACAGGCATGAATGAATATGCAGCACACAGCAAGAGCGCTTATCACAACCACAGGAGCCAAGTACCAGAAAAATACCAAAAGAGAACATAGGGTCTCACCAGAAAAGGGTTACCTTGAAAAAAATAAACTACCAGGGGGAATGGAACATGCAGCAGTTATAGTAAACGCCGCTCAAGCATGAAACTCGCGTCATGACCATGATGAACGTAAATGATAATGAGCGGAAAAAGGAGGGAAGCGGTACTTATCTGCAAATGGGGTTGCTTGTCTTGAACGTTGATTCGAATCTCGGCTTGAAAGTTGACTTGAAGTCTTGGCTTGAGGAGCGTTGCCTTGTAATGCTGATCCTCTTGGCAGCCAAGGCATTCAAGGATCGAAGGTCAAGAGGATCAGTAGTACAAGGCAGCGCATCGCTCCTCAAGCCAAGACATCAAGTCAACTTTCAAGACGAGATTCGAATCAACGCTCAAGACAAACAACCCCATGTGCAGATAAGTACCGCTTCTCTCTTTTCTCCTCTCATTATAATTTACGTTCATCATGGCCATGACATTGGTTCCATGCTTGAGCGGCGCTTACCACAACTGCTGCATGTTCCATTCCCATTGGTATATATATTTTTTCAAATAACCATTTTGTGGTGAAACCCTAGGTTCGTTTTTTGTATTTTTCTGGTACTTGGCTCCTGTGGTTGTTGTGATAAGCGCTCTTGTTGTGTGCTGCATATTCATTCATGCCTGTCATCATGCACATGCATTCTTGCCTCTCTTGTTTGGACCTTCCAGTACTTCCTCCCCCTTCTCCCTCTTTTACAGGCAGAAGTCGTCCGCCAGCACATGCACCAATGCGCTTAACAGGCAACATGCAAGTCGTGGCAGCAAACTGGGAAGAAGAGAGAAGAGGAAGTGCAAATGGTAGTAAGGTAGAGTAAGGAGGGGAAGGAAAAGGAGGGGACAGAGGTAGCAGCAGCAGCGAGCAGCAGCGGAGGCCAAAGAAACACTGCCTGGTGCCCACCACCCACCTGCCTGCTGCATTTCTTGAACCTGCCTCACAAGATGCGATCGACGGCTGTCATCCATCCATGCCACGTGGCATCCATCCAGCAGCCCTCCTAGCAGTGCTGCACGTGCTCCATGCATCCCCCGCCTTTCTCTCTCTAAACCCCCCTCCCCCCCATTCGCTGCTGCTCCATCTGCCTCCGCTCTCCCAACCATCCCCACCTCTGAACCCTCCCGACTGCCACCTGCACTGCCACCTGCACTGCCACATGTGCTGGCACAGCAGTCCACAAGCACGTGTGTGCACATGGACAATATATCTTCCCCCTCCCCTCTTGTCACCACCGCACTCCCCTCTCTCTCATCCCCCCCCACCATCCCTGTAAGTGTGATTCGAGCAGTGAGAACGGGAGGAGAGTGGGGAGATGTTGTGCTGAGAGGGGAGGAGGGAGGAGGGGAGGAAGCGAGATGCGTTGGGAAGGCATGTGGTGGTGAGGTGGGTGCGTGGTGGTGCGAGGGGTGATTTGAAGGGTGGTGTGAGGGGTGGAGTGGATGGATGAGGAGAGAGCCTGAGCGCTTGGCGGAGAGAAGAGAGTTGATGAAGGATGAGAGGGATGGAGACACACGTCGAAGGCCACTGGCGGATTCCTCCTCCTGCTGCTGCAGTTGTTGTTGTTGGTGCTGGTGCTGCTGTGCTGCTTCCCTCCTACCATCGTCCCACATGCCTTTAACCAGTGCAGCGAGCACAGCTCTATCCACATCATCACTCGCACCCATCCATGCGCGTCCCTCCCCATCACACTGAGCCAACCACCACGCCAACTGCACCGCCCCTCCCTCCTCCCCTCCCTCCTCCCCTCCCTCCTCGCCCCCCCCTCTCCCCCCTTCTCTCACACCCTCCCCCTCCCCAGCAGCACTCCCCCCAGCACCACCACTGCTGCCAAACCTCTCCTCGCCTCCCCCCTCCGCACCCCCTTCGATTCGCCCCACTTTACTCCCCTCTCCCTGCCCCAGAGGCTCATCTCCCCTTCTTTCTATTCCCTCCAACGCCCCCACCTCACCCCCTCTGTCCCTGGCAAAACTCGCCTGAGTCGCTTCCTGCTCCCCTGCCAGTGCGTGCCTCACTGCATGCTGCCAGTGCGCCATGCGGCTCTCTGCTGCGCCCACCCCACACAGCACCGCCCATGCTGCTGCTACTGCATGCAGGGATGCTGCTCGCTGTGCTGCTGCTGGGGGGAGTGGCGGTGCTGGTGATGCGGGTGGTGCTGGTGATGGGGACGCTGGTAAGAGTGATGGTGATGGTGATGGTGATGGTACTGGTAATAATGATGGTGATGGTGATGGTGATGGGGAGTGCAAAGGCAATGGTAATGGTGATGGGGATGGGGAGTGCAATGGCAATGGTAATGGTAGTGTTGATGGTGAGTGCAATGGCACTGGGAATGGGGATGGTGATGGGGAGTGTAAAGGCAATGGTAATGGTGATGGGGATGGTGAGTGCAAAGGAGCTGGTAATGGGGATGGTGATGGGGAGTGCAAAGGCACTGGCACTGGCACTGGTAATGGTGAGGGTGATGGTGAGTGCACTGGCACTGGCGAGGGTGAGGGTGCATGGTGGCTGCTGCTCTCACCCCTCTCCTCCTCCCCGCCTCGCTGCCCCACAACCTCGCTGCCTTGCCCATCCCCATCGCCAGCGCCCTTCTCCTCCTCCTCTCCACTCGTCACCACCTCCTTCCCTCCCCCACCTTCCTCCCCTCTCACGCACACACCACTAGCGCAGGCGGCAGCAGTAAGGCAGGTCCCATCTGCCAGCAGCACTGCCACCACCTCCACCCCATCTGCCGCCCCTCTCGCTCCCCACACCCCCCCATCACCCCCTCCTCCTCCCTCCACCACACCCCCCCCACCACGCCCACCACGCCCATCATCCCGCACCTCACGACCCTCCAGTGCAGAAGCACCAAGGGAACGGGCGTGCGGCAGCAGCGGCGCGTGGAAGAGAGCAGAGCGGCACAGCGCCACCGCCTCTACCGCTCTCTGCCCCCCCGCTCGCACCACCACGCCTGCTCGCCTCAGCCCCATGGCTGTCTCAGCCAGGTGCACTGCAGGGAGCAGCGGCAGGGAGTCGGGGAGAGAGAGCAGCAGCAGGGAGAGCAGCAGCAGCAGGCAGTCCTGCCAGGGGCGCTGGCGGAGAGAGAAGAGCAGCGCTGCTACCACTGCCAGGGCCGTACCAGAGAAGCCTAGCAGGCGAGCGAGGCGGAGGGCGAGAGTGGAGATGCGAGAAGGGAGGAGCGCGGAGGGGAGAGGGGAGTGTGGGGAGGGCCAGACGTGGGTGCCAGGGATATCGTCCTGAGTGGTGGTGGTGGTGTTGTCATGCGTGTTGAGATACGGTTGGGAGTGGTACGGATGGTTGGGAGTGGTTGGGGGAAGTGGGGTGTGACCCATCTCAGCACACGGCACCCAGTCCCCTTGTCCCTCGTCCCGCTTTACCTCCAACATGCCCACCATGCCCCCCTGCTCCTCATCCCCATCATCATCATCACCATCACTATCCTCTCCCATCACCTCCTCCCACTCATCCCTCCGCCCCTGCCTCTTCTCCCCCAACTCTCCCCGCCCTCCCTTCCCCTTCCTCCCCTTCTTCCCATCCGTCTCCTCCCCTGCTCGCTCCCCCAGCAGCGCCCCCAGCACCGTATCACCCCCCACTGCATACACCACGCCCACGCCCCACCCCTCCTCCACGGCGCACCCCCGGAGGGCCACATTGGCACAGAGGCGCGGATCCACAGCAGAGGCGGACGGGGGGAGGTGGGACTTGAGGGCGGGCGCATGCAGCATGCCGTGAATGGGCGCCTCGTCCAATAGCAGCGCAGCAGTGTAGATCAGACGTGTGTCTGCTGGAACCTCCATCCCCTTTATAAGCATCACCAGGTCTCCTACTACCACTGTGCTTGCAGGAACTGATTCCATGCAGCCGTTTCGGATTACCAGGGCTCTGGGGAGGGTGAGGGATGCCTGGCGCAGGTGGTGCTCCACCCACCTGAGGCGGCACCTGAGGCCCACCTGAAGCAACAGAGAGAAGGCGGCGAGCAGCAGGGCGAGCAGGCCAGGAGGGAAGTCGCCTGAGAGGAGGAAGAGCGAGGCAAAGAGCAGTAGACACGTCTGGAGGGAGGGAGAGGGGTGGGGGGAAAGGGAGGAGAGCGGAGGAGAGGGGTGGAGAAAGTTGGTGCAAGGATAGGAAGAAGAGACGAGAATAGAGGTGGCCATGTACTGGCGGGAAATTGGCTTGCAGAGCAATGCGCATACGCGGAATGGGGAGGGGGAGATGGAAGGGAGCGAGAGAGGGGGAGGTGCATGTGAATGGAAGAGAAGCCGTGAGCGTGCTTGAGCACATGCTTCTACGTGTACATGCATATGCCACACACACTTCTCGCCCCACACCCCTCGCCACACAGCAGCGCTGCGCCCCTCTCACCTGAGCAGCGCCCCTCTCACCTGAGCAGCGCCTCTCAGCGCGCCCACGCAGCACCCCAGCACGTCCGTCCACGCCATGCCGCCCCGCCTCCGCTCCTCGCCGCCCTTGCGAGCAGCGACGAGGTGTGAGTGGGCAGCAGTACTGGAAAGGCCGTGCAGGGGGGACGTTGCCAGGAGACTGCGAGGGGCACAGGGACAGGGGGGAGGGGTGGGGCGCGCTTGTGTGCAATCCATGCTCCAGGGAATGCCATGCATTCTCGGCGTGGAGTGGAGAGAACAGGCATTCAATCTTCGGGTGCTGGGCTAGTCCCGCCAGCAGGGCTCTCACTCACTCACTCACTCACTCACTCACTCACTCAATCACTCACTCACTCACTCACTCGCACAGCACGTGCACGGGCAGCTGCCACGGCGGGTCGCGCAGAGGGCGAGGCATGGCGGAGGGCGCGTGTGCGGTGGCGCTGGGATCAGTGCTGTGAGCGCTGGTGCGTCCGGCGAGTTTAGCGCGCAGCCAGTGCCATGCTGCGAAGACGGGCGGGGCGGGGCGGGGCGGGCGGGAGGGTAGGAGAGCGGAAGGGACGGGAGGTGGGAAGGGGAGGGGAGGGGAGGGGAGGAGACGTATGAGGGGCGTGGTGGAAACAGGGGCGGGATGTGCAACGCATACGATGGAGGGCAATACCACGAAAAGGGGGCGAGAGGGTGAGGGGAGGAGAGGGGGGATGGCGGAACGATGAAGAGCGGGGTGGTGATGCCAGAGGGTGGTTCTCGGGTGTGGATCCGTGCTACGTCCGTGCCACATCCGAGCCACATCCGTGCCACATCCATGCCACATCCGTGCTTCATCAGCGCTACGTAGGACCCTGCGCACCGTACCTCGTGCTACAGCCGGCAGCGCCAGGAACAGCAGCGCGGCGGCGACGGCCGCAAGTGACGCCGCGAGATGCGGACGCTGCTGCGACCCCAGCTGCAGCGCCGCCACTCCCGCCGCCGCCAGAGCCGCGAGGACGGCGGCGACGGCGCTGATTGCGGAACCGAGAGGGAAGGCCGGACGCGACATAGCGACGGCGACGGCGACGGGGATGACGACGACAATGGCGATGGGGATGACGACGGCGATGGCGACAGGGTTGGCGACGGGGTAGGGGAGGTGGTGGATGGGGAGAGAGTGAGGTGCGATGATGGGGTGGTTATGATTCACATGGGCGGTGGAAGGAAGAATCTGGGGCTTGGGATGGCCATGAGAGGGAATTTGAGAGGGACGCTAGGCAGCATGGATGGTACGTAGGGACTGTACGCGTTAACATCGACTCTTTACAGCTGAAGCTTGAATTCGTCTTGAACAATGACCGGCCGTAAGAAACATAGGTAACACCCTGAACGAGTATTTCCAGCAAAGTTTAGTATATTTTTCTGTGAGAACAATGCGTAAGTGGGGCTACAAGTTCTGTTCAACCCATTTCTGCTGTTCTTCTCGGTTCCGTTCGTAACGGATACAGAAAGCAGGATTTGCAGGGATCTAGGATCCTCATTTCAATCAAAATCAGAGCAACGAGTTTCAGCAGTTGATTTGGCACGCCTCGCACCACGCCCGCCGCAGCAATCTCGGCTCGTCCTCTCCCTCTTTCTCTGCTTCCCCCCCGTCCCCAGCCATGATAGCGCTTCGCCTCGCCGCCTCTCTCCACCTCGCCGCGCCCAGGACTTCCGCCCTCGCCGCGCGCCAGTCTCTTTCCGCGCGCGGTGTAGTAGCGCCGGCAGCGGCTGGGCCAGCGGCGCTGCGCGCGCAGCGGCTCCGCGTTGTTGCGCATGGCGGTTCTGCCGGCGGGGATTGGCGCGGGGGACGGACGGGCGGACGTATTGCGGGGAGGGCGGAGGAGTTGGGGAGGCGGCGGAGTGTGGTGACTGCTGCTGGCGGCGACGCGGAGGTGAGAGGGAGGAGGGGCCGGGGGGAAGGGCAAGCGGAAGAGTGATTGAGAGCGGATGGAGGGTTACTGATGCGTGTGGTGGGCTGGCTCCCTAACGCTGGCGGGTAGATACGAGGGGAAAAATCACCCTGGGATGGGCATGGATGGGGAGATGGGCATGGATGGGGAGATGGGCATGGATGGGGAGATGGGCATGGATGGGGAGATGGGCATGGATGGGGAGATGGGCATGGATGGGGAGATGGGCATGGATGATGGGCGTGGAATTGGGCATTGGGATTTGAGTGTGGGGAACTGTTATGACTGGTACCATGGGGAAGCCAGAAGAGCGCTGCAGATTGCAAATGATCCTGATTCTGTGACAGCCTGTTGTGTCCCCCTACCGTCTCAGCTGCTACTGCTGCCTGCCAACCCCCATTCCCACGCCCCTGCCGCACTGCACCGCACAGCAGGGTGAGAGCAGTCCGGAGGAGGAGGCAGCATTCTGGACTCGAATCCAGGAACACCAGGTGGGACGTGCACGCATGCATGCTGCATGCACACACTCACACACACACACACACACACACACACACACACACACACACACACACACACACACACTCACACACACACACACACACACACACACACACACACTCACACACACACACACACACACACACACACACACACACACACACACACACACACATATGCCGTGCTGTTCTCACATGCTGCGTGCGCCACGTAGCCTCTCTTACCCACACGCATAGTATGCAAAAATCGCTCCCGACTCCTCTTTCCCTTCCCTGCTCTCGCATCGGTTCCTGTGTTCCAAAAGAACCCTGCTTCCTTCCCCTTCCTTCTGCCTTCCTTTCCCCTTCCTCCTTCCTGTCCCTCCCTCCCTCGCCTCGTTCCCTCCCCCTCCTCCCGCCCCCTCCCTCCTTTCTTCATGTGCATCTGTCCGCAGCAAGCAGTGCCAAAGCTGTCACCTGCAGAGGAGGCGAGGACGGTCGTGGACAGATGCACTAGAGGAGTGCTCTCCACCTACTCTCAGGTGCCGCTCACACATGCTCACTTGCTCCCTCCATCACCATCCTTCCCATCGGCATACACCCCATGTGTGGCATATCCCATCGCATGTGTCACACACCCCATCGCATCTGTGGCACATCCCACGATCCCATTGTGCTGTGCTGTGCTGCACATCCCTGCCAAGCTCTCTGCCCTTTGCTCGCCCTCTCACTCTGCTCCTCTCCTTGCCCATCCCAACCCCGCCCCTCCCATGGGCCCAATGAGCAGAAGTTTGAGGGGTTCCCCTTTGGCTCCATGGTCACATACGCCTCTGACGACCAGGGCCGGCCCATCCTCGCGATCAGCGCACTCTCGCCACACACCGCTGTAATCCCCACTACCTTACTTCACACCACACGATCGTCTTTGCCTCCTTGCTTACCCAAGGGGCACGTTGAAAGCGTACGCTGGTTAGGAGAACCGTTGCTGTGTGTATTCCGTGCACCCAAAAGGGTGCATGCCATTCCTCGTCAGTCTAGGACCACGTGGTGTCTCTCCTAAACCCTGCACACAAGTGGCTCCCTAAAACCATGCAAAGACAATGCTCACGCTTCCAGTCATGCTTCATGCCTCCAGCTGTGAACAGTGGTAACCCATCCCCGTAACCCCCCCTCCCCTTTCCCTGTTGCTCTGACCGCACTGTGACCTGCGCACACAGCCACCTTGCACGGCGTGCACCCATGCACGCGAGCTTGCTCTTAGCCCCCTCTATCCGCCCTTTCACTATTCACCGCTTCCTCTCACTCACCTCACCACTCCCCCTGCTCGCCCCTGCTCTCTCCCCCTCTCCCATCTTGCGCCCACCAGGATCTGCTAGCAGACCCGCGGTGCTCGCTGCTGGTGTCGCGCAACCCGCTTGTCACCAGCGACACTGTTGTCACCATTGTTGCACGCGCCACCCTGGTACCTGCTGCAAGGCTGCTGCTGCTGCTGCCGCCGCCGCCGCCACTGCACCCAGCCCTTTGTTCGCTCTGCACCTAGGGCGCCACGTGCTTGTTATGTTATGTGCTTGCACCTGGGGCCCTTTGTTTGCTCAGCAGCCCTTACTTCGCTCTGCACTTGCACTGCTGCCTGCCTGCCTGCCTGCCAGCACAGCACCATACCGGCTTGTTGTGTCCCTTTCAGCTTCTCTCCCTCCCTCTCTCAGCAAGCCTGTGTGCTGTGCTGTTCGCCACGACCCTCTTCTTCCCTCTGCTGCATCCGCAACCATGACCCAGCCTTGCTTTGCAACGGGTGCAACACATGCTCATCCCCCCCTCCTTGCATGTCACGGCAGGTGGAGGAGAGTGAGAGGGCGGCAGTGCGAGAGGCATACCTCAAGAGACACCCCACGGCCTTCTGGGTGCGCGCTCGCTCTATCTTATCTCGCCTTTTTTCTCGCGCTCTCCTGCTCCCACCTGATGCACCCGTTCTGCCGCTGTCAAGAGCCTAGCAGCTTTTTAACCTTTTGACATGCCTGTGCACCATGCATGCCCCACAACCCCCGCAACTGACAACCCCACGTGCCAGTTGCGCCGTCGTTTCCTCGCCACACTGACCATGCATTTGCGTGTCACGCATGTGCGTGTGTGCGTGCCCGGCGTGCATGGCAGGTGGACTTTGGGGACTTCCACCTCTTGCGCGTGGAGCCTGTCCGGGTGGGTGGAATGGGCGTGAGTGAGTGAGGGAGTGAGCGAAGTGCACTCACCGCCATGCCATGTGGTGGGAGGCCCTATCGCCACAGGGAGGCAGACGAGGCATGGCCGTCTGCCTATCTTACATAGGATAGGACATGCATGTCACGTTTCTTAGGTTGTGCCTTGTTGAATTTGTGGCCCCAAGGCAGGAAAGCTGCATGGCAATTGTGAGGCGTGGAGAGAGGGGGTCGGAGGGGGGCAAGGGAGGGCGGGGATTGAGTGCAGGCTCGTCCTCACTTTCCTTCCACTGGATAGTTCGTGCATGCAGTGAGAGCCTTAAGAGCTTTAGCACAGAAAGGTCATGCAGGGGAACATGTGAGTGGGTTGAGTAGAGGAGGTGGTGTGAGTGAGGTGAGTGGTTGAACTCCAGGTTTTCTTGCACCGATTTGCCAACCTGGGGTGTCCGCAGTGCTGCTCGCATTCACTGTGTTTCTCTCTGGGACTAGGGAGAGAGTGCAATGAATCTGCTGCTCTACTCACCACTCTCACCCCTTCATCCATTTTGCTATGCCACTTCCCCTGTCTTCCCTTCCTACCCTCTCCCTCCCTTGCTGGCTGCCCCCCATCCTCCTCCCACCCTCCTCGCACTACGCAGGTGCGCATGACAGGCAACGTGGCAACCTTCGCAGCTGGGGCATCTGTGTCAGGTCATTTCGGCTCCCTCCATGTTCTCCTCATCTCTGCTTCTTCCTGCTCTGCTCCTCTCACCTCCTTTATCCTCCCCGTGCTGCTCACTCTCACGCCCTCAACCAACTTACATTCTGCCCCTGACTTCTCTCCCCCATCTCAATCAATCCTCCAAAACGTCCATGCATCCCTCACACTCTCTCGTTTTCACCCCTTCTTTCCGCCAAGTTGCAGCGCTCCTCTTGTGACTTCCACTCTTCCTCTCCACTGCTATGCCTCCCATGCCCTGCCTGCCTCCCATGCCCTGCCTTCCCCGTTCCATTTGCCCACCTCCTTGCATCTCGCAACCCCACCTCACTCCACACTTTCTCCTCTTCCCCCTCCTACCCACCACCCTCCTCTCACTCCCCTTTCCCCCCCCTCACCCACCTCTCCCCCGCAGAGCTATCACCACAGGAGTATGCAGAAGCAATGCCCGACCGCATCGCCCCCTTTGAGGCTCCCATTGCTGTGAGCCGTGCCCCGAGGGGCTGCTGAGAGGGGAATGGGAGGGGGGTGGGCCGGGGATGAAGGGGGGTGTGAGAGAGAGTGGGAAGCGGGGGTGAGAGGTGAGAGTTGGTGCTGCAATGCAATTGTGGTATGCACTGCAAGTGCCTGTCTGCGTCAACAGCACAGCACCTGTTCAAGCTCACAGCAACATGACTGCGCGCATGCACTTTGCTCTCACCCTCTCTGTTTTCCTCGCCTGTTTGCACTTCACTCCACTGTACCCCACCCACGCGCTGCACATGGCGCCCCACCCCACTACAACACGCCATGCGGCATGGCAGGCGCACATGAACAGTGACCATGAGGACGCCATCCGAGCCATGGTGCATGCGGCACTGCATGTGGAGGTGAGCCAGGCTCACTGCACTGCATGCAGCACGCTGCTGCTGCCATGCGTTGCCCTGCTGCCATTGCAGCGCGTGGGGTGTGTGTGTGTGTTAGCGCCTCCCCTACTGCATGTGTGGGTGGAGTGGAGGTAAGCCGGGCTCACTGCAGTGCATGCAGCATGCTGCGCTTGCCATGCCTTTCTGGGATCACTGCTGGGCTCCATAAATCAACGACTGCAAGCCCTGCTATCTGTGCTCAACGCGCACTTCCATGTGCAAGGCCGTGCATTCGTTATCTGGCCCTTGCTGTCCTGTCCTCTCGCTACCCACGTTGCTTTCAATCAATCGAGCACTGACTGAGGTTGCTCTGAGTGACGCAGAAGCAGCTCTTCACTGTGTATTCAACAGTCTTCCCTCACTGTGTATTCACTGTGTCCACTGTGTGTATTCAACTGTACTCGTCCCTCACTGTCCATCCTACTGCCCCGCGCACCGTGCTATCCTATCCGATGCCTCGCCGTGCTGCCACCAGGTACCATCGGCCAAGATCCTCTATGTGGACCGCTTTGGATTCCTGGTGGAGGTTAGTTGCCGTGTCACGACCACATGCCATGCATGCAGCACCGCCCCACGCGACGCGCCATGCATGTACCTGCCACTGCATGCCATAGTGGGATGTGTGTGTGACTCTGCAGTGTTCACCGTGCAAGCAGTGGCATCCTGTTCTCTCTCCAGCGTTGCTGAGCAAACAGCTTCCGCCTCGCGCTTCCTCATTCCTGCAAAATCTCGTCTCTCCATTCCCTCCACTCTCTCGACCAACCCCCAACCATCTGCTACCCTTTATTGCAATCATGCTGACCATCACCTTCATCACCTTCATCCCCTCATGCCACCATGTCCACCATTCCCACCAACCCCACCATTTCCACACCATGCCCACCACCCCACCCCGCATGGCAACCACCAGACGCCTCTCAAGGGGCAGCTGTCTCGAGTGCGCCTGCCCTTCCCCCGCCCCGCTGCCAGCAGAAAGTGAGTGGCTAGCGAGATGTGTGAGAGGGTAGAGAGCAATGAATTGTGTACAGCCAAGGGGGGGGAGAGGGGAGAGGGAAGGGAGGAAAGGGGGGTGGGGGAGGAGAAGGTTAAGGGGAGAAGGGGAGGGGGAAAGCGGACAGGGGAACTGCCGCGCGTCATTGCTAAGGATTGCTACAGGCAGCTTTCTCACTGTCTGTCTGCGCTGAAACACTGCCTGCCCTTGTGCTGAGCAATCCATGCCTTTGAATTGGATACGGTTTGCCCTCTCCTCCCATTGTGTGTGCGTGCATGCAGGGATGTGAAGGACCTTATAGTGGAAATGACTCGCCAGGCGCAGGGTACCTCTGGGCAGAAGTAAGCAGAATTGATTAGAGTTTGCAAAGCACCAAGGAATCAGGGCAGGGGAGCGGGGAAGCGGGCAGGAATATGGAAAGCAAAGTGGTCAGGGTCTAGCCATGCGCTGTGTTATGTCATCTGGTCTTTAAACCAACCCCACCTTTGTAACATCAGGGGTAAATTCTACGAGCCCTTGTTCCTACAGAGAGCTAGCTAGCAAGGATCATTACCGTATCAACATTGGGTATCAAATTGAACTTACAGGATCAGCGGTGGAGCTTCAATAGCTAAGCTTTCATTGCAATAGGCAATAAGCGTACTATTTTTCTGTACATCATGTATTGATTGGACCTGATGTAGCAATTACTCCTGGAAGGTTGTCCCTTATCAATTCCTCCGTCTCGTACGAACAAGTTCCCATCTTTTGGAGGTTGGGAAGCCCCTTGAGCCAGTTTATACCTGATGCAGTGATGATGCAATCCCACACTCCCAGCTTCTCCAGGCGTTTCATGTTCCTCAGGTGCTTCAAGCTTGAGTCAGTCACTCTTGAAGGCAAAATGAAGAACTTGAGAGAAGTGAGGGCAGTCAGATGCTGCAGCCCATCCTCCTTCACTCCACTTTCATTCAATGTGAGCCACTCCAGTGACGTCATTCTGCCCACATGCACCATGCTGGCAGACGTGAGAGACGCACATCCAGTCATGCACAGTGCCGTGAGAGCAGAGATCTCCTGGAGCCTCGCCACTCCCACGTCTGTGATATTGGTGTTGTTAACCACAAGGATTTGCAGGTTCGTGAGGCGGGAAATCCCCTCCAGAGCTGCATCAGTTGCGTTGGTGGCCCCCCCAAGTATCAGATGCTCCAGGCCTGTGAGGGAGTACAGCTTCCTCATCCCTGCTGCTGTGAAGCCCGAGGAGGCTCCGAGGTCGACGAACGTGAGGTGGCGCAACGAGGCGAGGTGGGTGAGAGCAGCGTCTGAGAGGCAGGAGATGCCGCTGAGGTCCATTCGCTTCTGCCCTGGTGCAGCTGCCGCCCACAGGGTGAGCATCGCCTGCAGGTAGGGCAAGCAGCGGCAGGCACGAGCACTACTGAGTTCTGATTGGCCGCGGAATACGGCACAGGGTGATGGCAAAGGTGTATGTACCATCAACCAACGACCACGGCTGCCATGTGTTCTTTCCGTCCATTAGTAGCGGCGAAAACAGCATCATCGTAGCCCAGGGGATTAGAGGGGAGCACGGGTAGCCCATGAAAACATGGAGGCACATGGAAGCAAGCACTCACCTCCAATGTCCTCTTTCCCTCGTCACTCTTCCTCTCCAGCTTCGTCACTCTGCCCACCCCCGTATCCGCCCTCGTCTCCAGCTTAGCCACTCCGCTTTTCACGGCCTCCACCGTCTCCTTCACCTCCTGCAATTCCGCCTTCCGCTCTGAGTTGTCCGCTTCATCTCGCTTTTCATCAGAAGCCGCATCATCATCATCACTGCCTTTCCCTGCGACCTCCCTCTTCCTCTTCTTCCCCTCGCGCCCCTCCGCCTCTGCATGCTCCTTCGCGCTGCCGTCGTTGCCATCGCTGCCATCACTGCCATTGCTGCCCTCCGCGCGCGCCTTCTCCCGCGCGTCCTTCCACTCCGCCACCGCCAGCTCCACGTCGTTCATCCGCGCGTCAATGTGCGCCGCTGTCGTCTTCACATCTGCTATTTCCGCCGCCTGCTGCGCGAGCACTGCCCTCACATCGCTCGTCGCGTCCCTCGCCTCACGTTTCACGGCCTCCAACCGCTCCGTCAATCCCTTCACTTGCGACTCGAGCTCGTCCCGCACGTCCTTCACCCGAGCCGCGATCATAGCCTCCACCAGGGCCATAAGCGCCTCGCTCTTCGCCGCCGGCTGCGCTGAAAGGCCGTCCGCGTCATGTGCTTCTCCTGCCGCGGCGCTATTAGCGCCGTGGTTCTCCGCCGCTCCCATCATCTCCAGCGCCCCCTTCGCCATCGCGCGCCTAATTTCGTCCACCTCTCGCTTCAGAGCTGCCATGGTATCGCCTTGCCTCTTCACCTGCGCTTCCAACTCCTCCGCTCGCTCCTTCGTGCCTGTGACTAACTCCGCCGTCTCTCCAGCCGTCTCTGCTCGTTGCACTTTCACAACCACTCCGTCTAACCTCAACTCCATGCCGCCCGCCATCGCCATTTGGAACCGCTATTGTACGACGCCGAAATAGATAGCGCTCGTTCGAGGGAACCTGGAAGGTCTGCTTGTGGACTGAGCTGTGGCTGTAGGAGTAATGCTTAGAATGCAATCGGGAGAAGACTGGGAAGCTTTTCTAGTAGCTTGTCGCAGGTTGGGAGACAGCTTGTCCATGTGTAGGCAGAAATCGTCAACACTGGGTTGAACTTTCCCGCCGCTTACAGTAAGCGGGAATATTTGTGAAAGAACACACTGGAATATCCACTCAACCACTCTGGAACTCATAATTATCGTTCCAGACACTGAAACAAAACAGACACTCTCAAAACTTGGACGTGGACACTACAGACAAGGTGGGTGCGGCGCGGGCTGTTCAAGCACAGCAAGAGAAGATTTCGCAATTTTAGTTGTGTAAGAAAGGATGCGCGTTAGTCAATAGCGAAACTGTGATCACAACTCCGTCATCCCCAGATATACGGTAAACATAATTGACAGTTTGGTATACCCCAGAGGTCTGAACAAGAGAGGTGTAAATGCAAGAGAAGATAGCATAGTACCAGTACCTGAGTAAAACGAGACTACGGCTGCATTAGTTAACCTCTTAGAAATCTCAGTTCAAACTTAACGTATTCCGTTCTACGATATCTTCACATTATTAATCATTGAGTATACCCGATATAACTACTCCAGGGAGATTGTCCCTTATCAATTCCTCCATCTGGTATGAAACAGTTGCAACCTTTTGGAGGCACTTAAGACCCTTGAGCCACTTCATTCCTGATGCAGTGACTTAAGCATCCCACAGTCCCAGCTTCTCCAGGCGTTTCATGTTCCGCATGTGCCTTATGCGCGAGTCAGTCACACCTGGAGGAAGAGTGAAGACCTTGAGGGACACGAGGGCAGTCAGATGCTGCAGCCCATCCTCTTTCACTCCAGTAATGTTCAATGCAAGCAACTGCAATGCTGTCATTCTGCCCACATGCACCATGCTGGCAGACGTGACGGACGCACATCCGGTCATGCACAGTGCTGTGAGGCCAGACAACTCTTGCAGCCTCGCCACTCCCGCGTCTGTGACATTGGTCTTGTCAAGAACCAGAACGTGCAGGTTCTTTAGGCGGCCAATCCCTTCCAGAGCAGCATCGGTTGCATCAATGTCCCCAAAAACCAGATGCTCCAAACCTGTGAGGGAGTACAGCTTCCTGAATCCTGCTGCCGTGAAGCCGGAGGAGTCATCGAGGTTGACAAATGTGAGGGAGGGCAATGAGGTGAGACGAGTGAGAGCAGCGTCTGTGCGGCAGGAGATTCCGCTGAGGACGATTTCAGTTTCCTCGGGGGCTGCTATCTCCCACAGCGTGAGAATTGCCTGCAGCCAGGTCAAAGAAAGGCGGACACAGAAGGTGGTACCAATTGGGAGAGGGTGGTACTGCACTTAGTGAGGGTGCTGCACAGAGTGAGGGTGCTGCACAGAGTGAGGGTGCTGCACAGAGTGAGGGTGCTGCACAGAGTGGGGTGCTGCACAGAGTGAGGGTGCTGCACAGAGTGAGGGTGCTGCACAGAGTGAGGGTGCTGTACAGAGTCAGGGTACTGCACAGAGTGAGGGTGCTGCACAGAGTGAGGGTGCTGCACAGAGTGAGGGTGCTGCACAGAGTCAGGGTGCTGCACAAAGTGAGGGTGCTGCACAGATTCAGGGTGCTGCACAGAGTGAGGGTGCTGCACAGAGTGAGGGTGCTGCACAGAGTGAGGGTGCTGCACAGAGTGAGGGTGCTGCACAGAGTGAGGGCGCTGCACAGAGTGAGGGCGCTGCATAGAGTGAGGGCGCTGCACAGAGTGAGGGTGCTGCACAGAGTGAGGGTGCTGCACAGAGTGAGGGCGCTGCACAGAGTGAGGGTGCTGCACAGAGTGAGGGTGCTGCACAGAGTGAGGGTGTTGCACATAGTGAGGGTGCTGCACAGAGTGAGGGTGCTACACAGAGTGAGGGTGCTGCACAGAGTGAGGGTGCTGCACAGAGTGAGGGTGCTGCACAGAGTGAGGGCGCTGCACAGAGTGAGGGTGCTGCACCGAGTGAGGGTGCTGAACATAGTGAGGGTGCTGCACAGAGTGAGGGTGCTGCACAGAGTGAGGGTTACGTACCATAAACTAACTACAGATGCCAAGTGTCATTTCCAAACTAGTGGCGAGAAACAACATACACGGATGAGGAAGCACGGGGTAGAACGCGTATATCAACACATTGGGGCACACACCTCCCACACTTTCTTTACTTCGTCACTCGTCGTCTCCAGCTTAGCCACTCTGCTTTCCACCTCCTCCACCGCCTTCTTCACCTTCTCACATTCAACCTCCCAGCCCGAGTTGTCCCCATCATCCCGTTTTTTATCTCCATCGTCCGCAGCAACTCCTGCAGCACCAGTGAATTCTGCCAGCTCATCCCCTTCGACCTCCCTCTTCCTCTTTTTCCCCTCGCGCCCCTCCGCCCCTGCATGCTCCCCCGCGTTGCCGTCGCTGTGCTCCGCGCGCGTCGTCTCCCGCGCGCTCTTCCACTCCGCCACCGCCAGCTCCACGTCGTTCATCCACACGTCAATGTGCGCCGCTGTCGCCTTCACGTCCGCTATCTCCGCCGCCTGCCGCTCGATCACTGCCCTCGCCTCGCTCGTCACGTCCCTCGCCTCACGTTTCACGGCCTCCAACTGCTCCGTCAATCCCTTCACTTGTGACTCGAGCTCATCGCGTACGTCCTTCATCCGCGCCGCGATCATGGCCTCCACTAGGGCCATAAGCGCCTCGAAGTCGAGCCTGTCGAGCCTGTCGAGGTTACTGGTGACTCTGGTGCTGCTGAGGGTGCTGAGCCTGGGGGTGCTGCGACTGGGGGTGCTGAGCCTGGGGGTGCTGAGCCTAGGGGTGCTGAAACTGGGGGTGCTGAGACTGGGGGTGCTGAGCCTGGGGGTGCTGAGCCTAGGGGTGCTACGCCTGGGGGTGTTACGCCTGGAGGTGCTGTGCCTGGGGGTGCTGAGCCGTGGGGTGCTGAGCCTGGGGGTGCTGAGCTTGGAGGTGCTACGCTTGGAGGTCCTCCGGGTGCTTCGTCTTGCCTGGAGCCACTCTCTCCGCCCGAGCTGCGCGAGTGGTTTGCCCGGCGCTAGAGGCGTGCTGCTGGAGCTGGAGGTTCTTCGACTGCTGAGGGTGTTGGTGCCGCTGGTCCCGGAGGTGCTCGTACTGGGAGTACTAGAGCTGCTGGGCCTGCGGGTTCGACTGGAGCTGGTGCTGCTGCGGGCGTTGGTGCTGAGCCTACTGCTCGCGGTCCTGCTGGGGGTACTACTGGTGCTGCTGGAGGTTCTGGAGCTGCTGGAGGTGCTGCTGGAGCGAATGCTCCTGCTGGGGGTACTGGTGCTGTCCCTGCTGTGTCTGGTGTCGCCGCGCAGCCTCGACCGTACTTCGTTCCACTCCTGCAGCAAGTTCTTGGTCTTCCACCTTCTACAGGTCCTCCTCCTTCTTTAGGGTGTCCACAGCCTGTCCAGTCACAGTTACAGTTACAGCGTGCCTCCCCTCTACCTGCTCCCTCTCCCTACACTGGTCCTACCGGAGGTCTTGCTGAGCGTCTCGCCCAGCGTTGCCTGTCCGTGCTGCTCGCACTAGTGGTCGTGGCTCGCATCAGCGTCCTCCTCCTGTCCCTGGCACGCACAGGATGTCTCTGTGTCCGTCCACTGCTCCTCTGCATGCCCCTTTGCCTTCTCCTCCTGAGTCCTCTCTTCCTACTCTTGCCGACCCGGCGTCGGACTCTCTTCGTGCTGCCAGTCCTACTGTCACACGTCTCCTTGCTACTGTCGTCACTGACCCTTCTTTCGAGTCCACTGCTGCGTCTGCCGTAGTTACTGAGCTCGTCGACTTTGTTGCTCGCTGTCGCCTAGACTACGCTGCTAGTCTTGTCGCTGAGTCTGAGTCTGTCTATCCTCCGTCCGTCGGGGGTGAGTGTGCCTTTGGCACGGACGTCCTTGAGGACAGGCAGGACGAGTTCCAGTGCCTGGCCGCTGCTTCACCTCATCTCGTGTCCGTACTTCTTACCCCTGAGGGAGACCCGGATGCACTTGACATCCCGACTCCGCGCTCTTACGCGGAGGCGATAGAGGGTCCCTACTCTTCTCAGTGGCAGGCAGCTATGGATGCACAGATGGCTTCCTGGAAGTCCACAGGCACCTACGTTGACGATGTCCCCCCTCCTGGGGCGAACATCGTCAGTGGCATGTGGATTTTCAGGGTGAAGCGGCCGCCGGGTTCTCCGCCTGTCTTCAAGGCGCGTTACGTGGCTCGTGGCTTCAGTCAGCGGCAGGGAGTTGACTACTTTCAGACCTTTTCTCCCACCCCGAAGATGACCACTCTTTGGGTACTGCTGCACGTAGCTGCTCACCGTAACTACGAGCTACACTCTCTTGACTTCAGCACTGCTTTCTTGCAGGGCAGCGTGCACGAGGAGATCTGGCTGCGTCGCCCACTTGGCTTCACTGGAACTTTTCCTCCTGGCACCCACTGGAGCCTTCGGCGGCCAGTCTACGGTCTCCGCCAGGCACCGCGTGAGTGGCACGACACACTGAGGACTACGCTTGCGGCTCTTGGGCTTGCTCCCTCTACTGCCGACCCGTCGCTTTTTCTACGCACCTACACCTCTCTGTCGCCGTTCTACATCCTCGTGTACGTCGACGACTTGGTCTTTGCCACAGCTGACACTGCTGGACTCGCCTACGTGAAGTCCGAGCTGCAGAAGAGACACACGTGCACAAACCTGGGTGAACTGCGTAGCTACCTTGGCTTGCAGATCACCCGGGACAGAGCACGCCGCACCATTACCCTGACTCAGTCACACATGGTGCAGCAGGTCCTTCAGCGTTTCGGCTTCACGTACTCCTCGCCTCAGGCCACTCCTCTACCTACTCGCCACTCATTCTCAGCTCTGCCTTCGGATGAGTCCGTAGAGTCGAGTGGCCCGTATCCTGAGCTTGTTGGCTGCCTCATGTACCTGATGACCTGCACTCGACCTGACCTTGCATACCCTTTTAGCATCTTGGCACGCTATGTTGCTCCTGGGAGACACCGACCAGAGCACATGGCTGCAGCGAAGAGGGTAGTGCGCTACTTGTGCAGTACGTCGGGCATGGGGCTAGTGCTTGGAGGGCGCAGTCCAGTGGTCCTCACTGGGCACGCAGACGCTTCTTGGTCTGACGACCAGGCTACGCAGCGGTCGTCACAGGGTTACACCTTCAGCCTTGGTTCCGGCTCTGTCTCGTGGCGGGCTACTCGCTCGTCTTCTGTTCTCGGCTCCAGTTGTGAGGCCGAGATCTACGCTGGGGCCATGGCTGCACAGGAGCTTGCTGGCTCACCTACCTGCTAACTGACCTCGGAGAGCTGCCTCGTTCTCCTCCAGTTCTGTATGTAGACAACAAGGCCATGCTGGCCTTGTGTCGAGAGCAGCGACTAGAGCACAGAACAAAGCACATTGCTCTCCGCTACTTCCTTGCTCGTGAGCTACAGCAGCGTGGACAGTTGCGGCTTGCGTACGTGGCCTGTGAGGCCAACACTGCTGATGTTTTCACCAAGGCACTTCCGCCTTGTGATCATCAGCGCTTCTGCACTTAGCTGGGTCTTGTCCCTGTCTTGCCTCACTTGCTCACCTCTTGACCTTACTTGTACTTTTACATATATATATACCTGCTCTTGCTTGTCTAGCCTTATATATATATATGTACTCCTGCATTTGAACTGGCCTTGTGGCCTTGAACTTGTGCTCGGAATGTGTGGTGACTTTGTGATCCACCCTGAGCTTTGCTTTGCCTTGCTTGACTGGTCTTGTGACCCCCTGTTCTCTCCCACTTTGCCTATGGGGGTGTGTCAGAACATTGTAGCTTATGCTGTTGTGTAGGCTATAGTGGGGTATCCCATAGGGGGTACAACCCAATTAGGGTTAGTACTTGTACTCACTTCATTCATAGTTCATTTCATTCTCGTTCATACTTTCTCAGGAGTGTTGTATGTTGGGTGCACGCCAATGACGAATTTTCTCCGTGTAGTTCTGTCGTGTGGGTTAGGGTCCCAAGCTTGAGCGCGTCAAGGTAGTGCTCTGGCCCTGCCCTCGCTTTGGCAAAGTCGGCTTTGTGGTCAGGGAGTCGACTATTCTGCAGAGGTCGACGTCGGGCTGGAAGTGTAGGTCGACAGGGTGGTCAAACTGCGACTGACCTCTGCGACGCCGCCGACAATGGGAGCCGGCAGTCGACTTCAACGCGGAGGTCGGCGAAGGTGGTCGTCGACCTATACGGGTCTGTCGAGGAGCCATCGTCGGAGTGAGCTCGACGGCAGCAGCAGATCGTGCTGGTCGACGGAGGGGTCTATCGACTAGGGTGGTCTTCGACGAAAGACGTGGTCGACGAGGGAGGTCGTCGACCAGGGCGTTGGTTGGTCGGCCGGGTCGACCAGCTAACCTCGACGAGGTTCCGCGGGGGCACGCAAGACTCGTCGAGGCTGCGATGGCAAGGGCGAATTCGGGCTGGTATCCCGAGGTAGACGTGGAGCGTCAGGCGCGACTTTCAGGACGTGGCCGACTTGGCACATGCGTGACGGTAGAGAACGTGCTCTACCGTCGCCACGCACCTGCAAAGTGGGTGCGCACTTGCGCTACTATCACTTGCGGATGCAACAGTGGGAGATCGCTCTGTTGCAGTGTTGGCAAGCCACTTTGTCGACCTGCTTCTTTGGCAGGTTGCCTTTCTGTAGTGCTAGCGCGATGCCCCTACGCAACGCTGGGAGATGTCGATCTTGCTGTGGTGGCGGTTGACCAACTTGTGTGCTAGGTTCCTAAGCTCTGATGTAGTCATTCTTGCCATTGCATGTCCAACAATTCTGTAATGCAAATGAAATTCTTGCCAATTCTTCCCGTGAATGTGCAAGTGCTAGAGAACACTAAAGAACGCTACGATCATTCCTAGAACCCGTGCCTTCCCCCGTAGTCCCGCTCCCGGTGTAGAGTGATTCTCCGCACCTATAATCTTGAAGCCCAACGTGCTTGTAACCCTTCCCTACGATCAATCGGGAATCTCCAGTGCACCTCTGACACCCCCTCGGACAGGGATGCCCGAGGTGCACACTAGGATTCGAACTCGAGACATTTGCTTCTATACCATGTCAGAATCCCAGCCACTAACGACATGAATAATATGACTTGTTTGTGTAATTGGTGATTGCGCCCATAACCCCCTAGGCCAACGTACCTGTAATCCTTCACTAGGATCAATTGGGGATCTCCAGTGCACCTCTGTCACATACATTATATCCAAGATACATCCCTAAACCCCACTACCCGCATACCTTCCATAAGTCCATGGTTTTAAAATATAAGACCAATCAGAAAAAAGAACTAGGATAAACCCAGTAATGCATTATATAGTTCAACATTCCTATAGCCAATCAGGTGCATTAGGAGCTATGATGAAATGCATGGAAAGAGTGTACCCCTATGCAGGGCAACCCCATTCTTTTTCTAATGTTCAAATTGCTTGTAAGAGGGCAATGAAGGTGCGGGTGTTAACGAGTTTTCGGGCGGAATATGAATCGCGATTCGCGAACCTCTGTCCATGAACACCCCCGCACCGCGCCTGCTGTGCAATGCTGTGTCCACGTCCGAGTTTCGAGGGTGCCCCACTTGTTTTGGGGTGGAAGGCATGCAAGGTGAGGTGCAGAGCGGTTTGGTATACATTCTGATGCGTACGGAGAGAAGATCTCACTCTGTGAGTGATATCCCCTCAACCAGCTTGTTCAAATGCTTGCGTGGCCCAAGACCAGCTAGCCGAAGCTCTCAATCCCATCCAGGTTGACAATCCCAATCCATTTTACTACTCCCAAGCCGCAGTCTACGTCCAGCCCCCAGCTTTTTTTGTGCGAGTACTTCATAGTACGACATTTACGGTCGCAGTTGTAAAATAGCGATGGCGGGAGGCATGGAGTTGAGGCTAAACGGAGTGGTTGTGAAAGTGGAATCGGCTGAGACGGCGGGAGAGATGAGGGAGATAAGCGCAGGCGTGACGAAGCGAGCGGAGGAGTTGGAAGCGCAGGTGAAGAGGCAAGGCGAGGCCATGGCAGCTCTGAAGCGAGAGGTGGACGAAATGAGGCGCGCGATGGCGAAGGGGGCGCTGGAGATGATGGGAGCGGCGGAGAACCACGGCGCTGGCACTGCCGCGGCAGGAAAGGCAGGAGATGACGTGGACGGCCTTCCAGCGCAGCCGCCGCCGAAGGGCGAGGCGCGTATGGCCCTGGTGGAGGCCATGATCGCGGCTCGGGTGAAGGACGAGGTTGAATCGCAAGTGAAGGGGTTGAAGGAGCAGTTGGAGGCCGTGAAAGGCGAGGCGAGGGACGCGGCGAGCGAGGTGAGGGCGCTGGTCACGCGGCAGGCGGCGGAGATAGCGGGCGTGCGGGCGACAGCTGCGCACATTGACGCGCGGATGAACGACGTGGAGCTGGCGATGGCGGAGTGGAAGTCGCGCAGGGAGCACAGCGACGGCAGCGCGGGGCAGCATGCAGAGGCGGAGGGACGCGAGGGGAAAAAGAGGAAGAGGGAGGTCAAAGGGGATGAGCTGACGGAATTTGGTGGTGCTGCAGTAGTTGCTGCAGAAGTTGCTGCGGGCGATGATGCAGCTTCTGATAAAGAGCAGGATGAAGCGGTCGACTCAAAATGGGAGATTGAATGTCAGGAGTTGAAGAAAACGGTGGAGGCAGTGGTGAGCCGAGTGGCGAAGCTGGAGAAGACGAGTGGCGAAGGAAAGAGGATATGGGAAGTGCGTGCGTCCATATGTACCCGTTCTACCCTGTGCTTCCTAAAGATCCCCATATGTTGTTTCGCGCCACCAGTTTGGACAGATTGGAGACAAGTGGCAGCCGTAGTTGTCTAATGGTACAATCCCCCTCACTCCATACAGTGCCCGGTCCCGATTGGTACTCGTTTATGCTCATGTTTGTGTCTGCTTGTTTGCCCTACCTGCAGGCGATGCTCACGCTGTGGGCGGCAGCACTACCAGAGGAAACTCAAATCAACCTCAGCGGCATCTCCTGCCTCACCGACGCTGCTCTCTCCTGCCTCGCCTCATTGGCCTACCTCACATCCGTCAACCTTAGAGCCTCCGCGGGCTTCACAGCAGAAGGGATGAGGAAGCTGTGCTCCCTCACAGAGCTGAGCCATCTGGTATTTGGGGCCATCGATGCTACCGACGCTTCTCTGGAAGGAATTGCCCAGCTGAAGAACCTGCACGCTCTGGTGCTTGACCTGACCAATGTCACAGATGTGGGGGTAGCTAGGCTGCAAGAGCTGACTGGCCTCACGAAACTGTGCATGACCGGATGTGCGTCTGTCACGTCTGCGAGCATGGTGCATGTGGGGAGAATGTCGTCACTGCAGGTGCTCACATTGAACGCTAGTGGAGTCAAGGAGGATGGGCTGCAGCATCTGACAGCCCTCACTTCTCTCACAATCTTCACTTTGCCATCGGGAGTGACTGACTCAGGCTTGAAGCACCTGAGCAATATGAAACGCCTGGAGAAGCTGGGCCTGTGGAATGCTAAGGTCACTGCGTCAGGTATGAAGTGGCTCAAAGGCCTTACATGCCTCCGGAAGGTTGCAACTTATACGTACAAGGTCGAAGAATTAATCAGGGACATTCTCCCTGGAGTTGTTACATCACGTTCACTCCATGACTGATGCATCCAAGTCGGGCATTGTGACACAAGGTTAGTAACTTAGTATGTTTCGTGTTTTGTGGGCAGAGATCTGTGGGAAGATCTGTGTCAGAACATGTGAGAACTGCTAGTCCGATTACCGAACGCCCCTACAATCTTCTTCGATATAACGCCACTACTGCTTTTCTCTTTGATCCCTACAAGCCCCTAGAAGCGTATACCTGTAGGCTGTTGGGCTGAAATGCCCCTTAGGATCTTTGGTAGGATGAAACTCTAGGTAAAGTGATGTAATAGCGGAAGTGTTTAAGAGAAGATTCTGAACCACCTTGCGCTGGTATGTGAGGGCAAAGTAAGTTGATTAAAGCAAAGAGACACAAGATTATATAAGAGTACAAGGAATACGAACAGATACAGTTGTAACTGCTTTTGCTGTTGCTTGTTGCGGTTCGATACAGTGACGACTCGGGCAACTGCTCAGTATCGAGTCAGTTGTGTGTCCTTGCTGTCGCGCTGTATTTGTCAAGTCAAAGGTCGCTGACCTTTGACCTTCGCGTAACCTGCAGCGGTTACTTCAACCTCCGAGGGTTGACTCGCTAGTGCCTCGATATGATTTGCTTCGCTTGTGCCTTGGTGTTTCGACACGATAGAAGCGCTTTAGGACAAATTGTTTCCAACACTCCCCTTCGCTTCTGGAGTGTCGCTGACGTGGCTCTGTCCAGTCAGCAACATGCAGTATTCGAACTTTTGCTTTCCGAGTTTCTTGGTCAGGTAGTTAGCTGCAGGCCCTCAGATTCGTTTTTGGCCTGTCTGATTCATCAGACTAGTACACAATTTTAGTCTGAAAATCTCAGAGTTGGTATAAAAAAAAGGCTGAAATTTCAGAGTGTCCTAAAAAAAAAGTCAGATCATTCAAAAACAATGTATTCAATGTTCCATCGGAATGTAATCAATGTTTCATTCATCTGCTACCGAAACACACAACACTAAGGGTATTTTTGATAAAACATGCTATGACAGGGCGAATCTTGTGGTGCGAAAGAGCGAATATGCAATGTCAGGGCGAGTTTTCTGTGATTGGTCGAAAATTGTTGTGCTATGACAGCGCAAATCTTTTGTGTCAGGGCGATTTTGCTATGATTGGGCGAAAATCTTGTGATGTAAGGCTCGGATTTGCTGTGTCAAGGCGATTTTGCGTTGACATTGCAAATCTATTGCGACCCGTAAGTCCGAATCACCCGTCAAGGACGCGTTTGTAACTTTGTACTCTGAATGATCAGAGTACACTCTCAGAAAACTCTGAACTCTCAGAGTTAGCCTTAAAAAAAGTCTGAAAATTACAGAGTTTGGGCCCAAAAAAGTCTGATTTTAACAGAGTACACTGGAAAAAAAATCTGAAATATCAGAGTTTTTTGTGCAAATCAGAGAAAAAAGTCTGACTTCGTAGGGCCTGGTTAGCTGCCATCTCGGACGTGGGACAGTATGACAGGACGAGTCTTCCCTTCTCGATCTTGTCCTTCACGAAGAAATATCGCAGGGCGATGTGTTTCGTCCTGTTCGCGAAGCCGTTCTTGTTGGCGATGCAGATTGCAGATTGGTTGTCGCAGAAAAGGGTGAAGTTGGGTAACTCGGCTAATTTCGCTTCTTCTAGCAGTTCGCGAAGGTAGAGTCCTTCCTTGGTGGCCGAGCAGAGTGCAATGTATTCTGCTTCAGCTGATGAGAGAGCAATTAGTTCTTGCTTACTCGATTGCCAGGAGATAGGCCCGATAGGCTAGAAGCGGTAGATATAGCCGGTGCGCGATCGTCTGTTGTCGGAGTCGCCCGCGTGGTCTGCGTCGACGTAACCGATTAGCTTAGGTGGTGCAGTTGCGTTCTTATGGTAGGTCAGGCCGACCGTCGGAGTGCTGACGAAGTAGTGAAGAGCGCGGTCGAGTTCCGCCAGATGCTCTGCTTCAGGCCTTTTGAGATCGGTAGCGAGCTGGCTTGCGGAGTATGAGAGGTCGGGACGACAGGTGACGGCTGCGAAGAGTAGACATCCCAGTTTCTTCTAGTAGTCTCGTATGCCGGCGGGTTTGAGTAGGGCGGAGCCTCCTTTGTCGTTCCCTGCCGTGTAGTGGTATGGCGTGGAAATGGATGCTGGTGTGATCGTAAAGCGTTTGGCGATAGTGTCGGCGTATTTTTCGGCGCTGAGGTAGATCGCGTTCTTTTCTTCGCGGATGTTGAGGCCGAGATACTGAGTGACGGTAGATGAGACTGTGAGCGTGAGATCTTGCTACAGCTCCCCTTCAAACCAGGTGGTTATGCCATCAGTCGAGCCGATGTAGAGAAGATCATCCACGTAGACGATTAGCAGAATGTAGTCTTCGTCTTTAGTGAGCCGGTACATGCCTTGATCGTGCGGTAGTTGCTTGAAGCCGATGCGGATGAGGCGAGCGTGCAGGTGCTGTTGCCACAGTCGCGGGGCCTGCTTGATGCCGTAGAGTGACTTGAGTAGCTGGCAAACTTGGTTGGGTTCTCCGTGGGAGCTCTGTGGTAACTCAACGAAGATTTCGGCATCAACAGGTGCGTAGAGGAATGCGTTGGCGACGTCGATTTTTCGCAGCTTCTTTTTCTTCATGGCGGCGATCGCGAGGATGATTCGAAGTGAGGTATGTCGGCTAACCGGGGCGAATGTCTCGGTGAAGTCCCGTCCGTGCTCTTGATCGAATCCACGCACAACCCAGCGTGCTTTGTGCGGAGATTCACTCTACAACGGCAGTGAGCTAGACTACAGGGTTGGCACGAACTACTAGAGGTGATCTCAGCTTTGCTTGGTTCCTTAGTACTTGCACATTCACAGGAGAAATTGGCAAGAGTTTTTTTTCACTAGCAAAGTTGGAATTACAGAATTAAATCAAAGAAGCAATGACAACAATGACTACATTAGGCACCTAGCAACCCTGCAGCTAGCCTGGTCGACTACCAGCGCAGCTCGGTCGACCGCCTGCCAGCATTGCGTAGAGGAGCCGCGCCAGCACTGCAGAAGGGCGACCTGCCAACAAAGCAGGTCGACGGCGTGCCCCGTAGAACACAGCAGTGCGCGCGCTCGCAGGTGTGCGCAGACGATTGGTCCGACTTGCCTCGTTGGGCATCCGTCGGCTGTTGTCTGCGCCTGACGAGCCACATCGACTTCGGGATACCAGCCCGAAGTCGCCTGCGCCATCGCGATCTCGACGGCATTCGCGTGCCTCCGCAGAACTCGTCGAGCAGGTTACCCGGTCGACCTGGTCGACCCCTGGTGCTCTGGTCGACTCCTAGTTGACCACTGGGTTTCTCTGGTCGACCACCGGATGCTCCTGGTCGACCACACCTCCCGTCAAGCTACCCCTTGGTCGACGGACCCCTTCCGTCGACCAGAACTGCTCCGTCGACCTCCCGGTCGAACTGCAGTTCGACGGGATGCTCCGTAGACCTCCCCGTCGAACTGTAGGTCGACGGACTGCTTTGTCGACCTCCCGGACGGCTCACCCGTCGCCCAGGCCAGTCAGTTGCAGCTGTCGAGCATCCTGGTCGACAGCAACACCACAGCGGTCCGCTGCCGCTCGACGTAACCTGTCGAGCAGCTATCCCACTGTGAACAGTCGGCTGCTACTCCCGTGCATCCGACCAAGTCGTCGGCGTTGCCCAAGCGAGGGCGGGGCCAACACTCCATTCCCGTTAACACTCCCCTGCCGCGCTCATGCTTGGGCCTCCAGCCCACACGACAGTACTCCACGCAGAAAGCTCGTCCTCGGCGTGCACCCCATACACAGCACGCCGTCACCGCACCAGCCGTGCAGAAGGGCACGGCACCTACTGCTGCACCTCGTCATCGCCGTCGCCGAAGTCCACCAGGCGAACTTGGCCGATGGCGACAGAGCACCGGTTGAAAGCCGGAAAATGCAGCGCCTTTGTCAGGAAATCCGTCGGCTGCTCGGTGGTAGGGATGTAGTTCAGCACAAATTTCCCGCGCCTCACCATGTGCTGCAGCCAGGCGTAGCGTCGCTCCATGTGCTTGAGGTTGCCCGTCAGCCCCAAGCCCTCAGCGACCGTGATTGCCGACTTGTTGTCGATGCGGAGGATGGTCGGCTTCTCAGCGTCGAGCAGCTTGAATTCCGCAAGGAGGAAGCGAAGTCGACGCCCCTCCTTGCCGGCATCCGTGGCCGCCACGTACTCCGACTCGGTCGATGATAATGTCGCGCACTTGATGCGCGAGCTCGACCAGGAGACGGCGGCCCCTCCGTAGACGAACACGTAGCCTCCCGTGCTCGTTCGGTTCTGCTTGTCGCCCGCGTCGTCGGCGTCGACGTAGCCGATCAGCTCCAACGATTCTTGTCCACCGCCGAACTCCAGGGCGGTGTCGCGGGTGTCGGCGAGGAAGGCGAGGCAACGGTCGACCTCACGCCAATGCTGGTCGCTCCTCACCGTGAGGCCGCTCCCCAGCTTGCTGCAGGCGAACGCAATGTCCGGCCTCGTCGTCGTCGCCGCGAACTGCAGCGAGCCGACCTTCTGGCGGTACTCCTCCTCTTCGCGCTCCTGAGCCTCCTCGTCTTCGAACGTCAGATGAACGTAGGCGTCGACCGAGACCGGCGTCTTCGGGACTCGACCGCCTAGCTCCTCGTCGACGAAGCGCCTGCGCAGCTTGTCGGCGTAGCCCTGCTGGTGCAGCCACAAATTCCTGGCCGGCCTGTTGCGCACGATCTCCAGCCCAAGGTACTTTTCCACCGGCGAGATCTCACGCAGCTCGAAGGCGGCCTCCAGCAGCTCCTTCAGCTCCTTCAGCATCGCGGTGCTGCTGCTAGCGGCGAGCAGGTCGTCGACGTAGACCAAGACCCAGCAGGTCACACCGTCGTCGCCGGTCTTGAAGTAGA